ATGGGATTAAAGGCATATTGCCACCATGGCCCAGCTAAGAAATATCTTAACTGTCTTCAGTGGTTGGATTAGTTGTTGCAACTATTGCTTGCATCTCCAATCGTCCTAGAAGAAGAAATTTCCCTGAAGTGAAGCAAGGGAAAAGTTGAGTTTGATGTGGAGGGTGTTGGAGCTGCTGATTAGTGAGAGTTGGGTCCCCAGGGAAGTGGTAGAATCGCCATGAGTAAGAATAAAATTGGCAGCATTTGCCTTTTGAGACTTAAAAGTGGACTTGCCTAAAATGGGCTAAATTAACATATCCCTCCATCCCCTGCCCCCCCTTTGTACAAAGAAAGACCTTAACTGGTCCAGGAATGGGTCACATTGCAGGTTATTCTTTTAAGATGATTTTCTTGTTTTTGAAATTAAAAATTTTTTTTTTCAATTTTGTGTCTGTGTGTGTGTGTCTGTGGGTATGTGCACATGGGTGCAGGTACCTGCAGAGGCCAGAAGGGGTTTTGGATTTCCTGGAGCTGAAGTTACAGGTGGTTGTGAGCTGCCTGCCAGGGGTGCTAGGAACTGAACTCAGGTCCTCTACAACAGCAGTATGTGCTCTTAACCACTGAGCCTTTTCTCCAGCCCCTCTTGTTTTTCAAGACTCAACAAGGCTCAAGGTACCTAGGATTGAAAAGATCACAAACACAGGTCTGTTGTGGGAAGCGTTTTTAAAAAAAATTTATTGAACTTTTGTAATTTCAAATAACAATTCTTAATCAAATTTAGATCCGCTCCCCCATGCCCCTCCATCCCCCCATCAGACCTCATGTATTTCTCCATACATGTTAAGTTCAATCCAGTCAAAGATTTGTACCCAGATGTCCTTTAATGAAAATTCATCCGCTGGAGTCTAGTCAGCCCATCTAGAGACCATATGCAAGGCATACGCTCCCTTACCCAGCGGCAGTCAGTCTCCAATAGTTCTCAGTCTAGGCCAGCCTGCCACCAATTTCTCTCCTCCCCTCTGGGCCCTTGTTTAATTGAGTTGGCATGGGTCCTGTGATTGATGCCACCATTGCCACAAGTTCACATGTGTAAGTTTCCAGTGCCCTGAAAGCCTCTGGGGAAGCCCTTTTTAATGCTCACTTTAATAAGTGAAATAAGGTAACAGAACACTCCAGGATCATCCTGAACTTAATGCCAAGTGAGCAACATGTTTCAATACAAAAGTGCATGTTTTGCTGTACTGTCGGGTGACTAGCTTTTCTTTGACCAGCTGACCTGGGATTGGGGGTAGAAAACATCTCCAGATGAGCTCCTCTCTTTACTCCCTTCACAATACACAGTCCCCATAGTCAACACCACCAGTGCCGGTAAGAGTCTGGAGGCAGAACCCAATGCAGGATGTTCTCTTTTTTTTGTCTGCCACCTGTGTGCCCTGGCACCTCCCCACCACTGCTGCTTCCTGTTTCCTAGCAACGCCCTCCTTCTGAAGAGCAGACAGTTCTTTAGGTCTTAAGAAAGCTACAGAGACATCAGCTTTAGTGGCTTTGCTGACTGGTGTTAAATTGGTCATTCAAGGCCTGGAAACAGATCTACAAAGAAGTTCTAGAAAAGTGCTGAGCAGTGATGTCATGTGTTTGATGCTCTGCTTAGGAACTGCCTTGGATGAAGACAGTACTTATCTGATTCTAGTAGGTTGGCTGCTTTGGTGCCTCCCTCCCTCATTCGCCAGCCAATCACAAGATCCAGTTGATTTAATTCGAAACCTCTGCCCCTTCTGTCCTATGAAGGCCAGCAGTCTTCTCGTTGGGCTAAGGAGCTGGCCCCCGCATACCATTCTTAGGATGTAGCCAGGTGGATCTTTTAAAAAATTCGTGTCTGTTGTCATTTCCCTGCATTAACTGTATAGTGCCCCCGACCCCCGCCATTGTCCTTAGCAGGGGACCAGAATCCTTACTTACCATGGTTCATCGGGCCCTCCTCATCAGCTCAGCACCTGGCACCATGGTGAGGGCATTAAAACCTCTCAGTGCATGGTGAAAAGTCTGATCCCCCATGTCAGACCTCAGGTCTCAGGTCTCTACCTCTGCTGGAGGAAAATGCAGCCCACAGCGATGGCAGTCGGGGAGTGAACACATTCTAGGTTCCCAGGGCCTGCTGTTGCACCCAGGACTGGCCTTAGAAATGACTGCTATCAACAGTAACCTGCTGAATGTTGCCTCACTTCCTCCCCTGCCACAGCCACCTCAGAAATCCCAGCCAAAGTTCTAATGAGTCTTGTCCTGAGAGCGGACATCCACATGCTTCCCTGTTCAGGCTCTAGAAGGCAGGTACAGGAAGTGCAGCCTCTCCTGGGGGAGCTGTTCAGTCAGCAGGTCACCGAGCGGACAGAGAGCTAATCATAGGGGCCCACCCTGCTCCTCTCACGCAGGCAGCCTCCTCGCCCTTCCTGTGAGGCTGTGGAAACGGGACCTGCCACCACAACTGAGTCAGTGCAGGCCCCTGGCTACCCACGGCCTGCTGTCATCCTCGCCCTTTCACCCCCCCACCATTCTTAATCCCAAAAGCTGTGAGCCCCACGTGACAACCTGGATCACAGGCCACCCTGCACCCCCAGCATTGACCCCATGCTGGGTATGAACTTCCAAGTGTGCTGCATGAGTGATGGGTTTGGGGTCAACATGGACTTGCTGAGAAGCCCTGCCACCCCTGAGAGCTATTCCCGAAAGACTCCACAGCATAGATGAGCAGTGATTAATTTGTTTATATTAGAGGTCAGATAAAATGTGCTTCACGAGAACGAGTTAAAATGCCTCCTGCTAATGGTTTCTGAAGCTGCTCCCATGGGCACCAGACGCTCCAGGGAAACATGAGCTGTTTGGAGATATGAGCTTCAGACAAGGGGCCAACAGGTATTTACCCTTCGGTCACTTACAGACAGCCACTACCACATGGATTAGGGCTTTGTAGATATCACTGTTGCGTTTCTGTTAGCTGAAATGGAATGTCCTAGGCGTCAGTAAAGACAAGCCTTGGCATCTCGGTGGCTTAACAGAGCAAAGATTATTAACACCCTGTCATGGTCCATCTTGAACTATGCCAAGGGTGTTGAGAATGAGGGGCTTTGGATCCCAAGCATGTTTAAAGGTGAAGCTGGAAGTGGCTTACATCCACTCTGCTTGTGATCCCAAATTGTATGAGAGGCACAAAATACCGAAGCCCATGGATGCCAGGTCAGGCTTCTAGACTACTAGACCCTATCACTACTGTCACCATTATCACCATATCGTCCTTACAAAAACCAGGTAAGATGAACATTTTCAGTTCCCTTTTACGCTTAAAGAGTGAAGAAATTAACCTGAGGGCCCAGTTGTAGATGACAGGCAGCCAGCATTCCTACAAGCTCTGTCCAGTTCCAAAGCCCACCTACACAAGCTCCTTATAAAGCAACACTCCCTGCTCCATTAACATAGGTGCCCTCGAGTTTCTGTGCCAGGCTCCCTGGGAGCAGTGCCCTTCCTGTCTTTCACTGTGTTTAGCAGGAGCTCCTCTACCTCCCCAAGCCAACCTGTGAATGTGCTCTGCTCCACTCACCAGCTCACCTCTGTGGAGGTCAAGAGCGGACCTTATAAACATTTCCCAAGACAGGCATGATGGCACATGCCTATAATCCCAGTGCTAGGGACACAAGGCAGGAGGATTCCAAATTTGAGGCCAATCTGGGCCACAGAGTTCTTGTCTCAACAAACCAACTTTTCAACTTTCCTAGTTGAAAGAGTCAAAATGACCCTGAGATTCAGAAGGGTCACACTCTCTTCCTCAGACCTGCTCACCTCCAGCTCCCCATTCCTTGGCCATTTCTGTGACAACCCCAGCCTTGAAGATGATCACCTCATGTCAACACTATATCTGCAGCTCTCAGAGGACTCTAGGCCTCCTCAGAGGATGCCTGTCACCCTGCTGGCCATCAGAAGAAACTAAGATCTCCTTTAGAAATCTGAACACTTGAAATGCCCATGCAGGACGAGTCTTGGGTTTGAGGCCCTGCTTTTCAACCATTTGGAGAAGTATTTCACTTCACACAGAACCCACTGATACCATTAGAGACTCCTTGGCTGTGCCTTAGTACCCCCAACCCCCACACACACCCAGGGAGCTTTTCAAAATCCCCATGTCCAGGGCCATTCCCAGACCATCCCCTCACCATGCTGGGGGAATGCCCTGGGCAACAGAGGTTTGTAAAACTGCCCCAGTGTTTCCAAGGTGCAGCTGGTTTGAGAACCTCCACTGTGGACTGACTTTGGCCAGAATCATCAGGGTGCAGAGGAGCAAGGGACAAAAAGCAAGGCTGCCTAGCACCATTTGTTAGCTTGACCCTGGAACAAAGTCCTGAGGAATTCAAGTTTCCCTCCACAGCAAATACAACCAACCTAAATGACAGTTGTTGAAACATGGACCCAAACCTGAGTGGAGAAGGCCCTCCAGGCTGGGGCTGCATACTTGAAGTTTACAGCATTGTTTTTGCTCCACTGATTCTCAATAGCGCGTGTTTCTCAAAGTAGTGACCCTTTAACCTTTGTGTGGAGGTGTTTTGTTAAAGTGTAGTACAGATATTAAAGAAAGTGTATTGTGGAAATGTCATTTTGAAAATAAGTGCTTTTGAACTGGGCCTTCAACCTTTTTAAGCATTGAGCATTGAGTAGGAGGTCCAGCAAGTAAACTTGGAAATGAAAAAGATTGGCCACATTAAATAATTTACTTGAAAGCCTGGAAACATGGAGCCATGTAGGATTTTTCCTATTGATTTTAAAGGGTTTTGTCTCCACCAGCTCCTGTTCTATCCTTACCTAGTGGCATCTGAATTCACTTTATCTTCTTTCTACCTATGCTCAGGTGGCTCTGCCATTTTCCACAGAAGCCTGTTCACCACCCTGCCAGGAGTAAGTAAGGCATGAGGGCTGGAGTCCTTCACACACTAGGCCAGGACTTCGGTTGTGACAGGTAAATACTCCTCACCAGGCTCTAAACTCAGATGATTTATTGCTTTAAGTAACTAAACAAGAAAGAAGAGACATCCAGATAACCGTTTCCATCCAGACAATTGGCGTTTTGTCCCCAAGGTTTGCCAGATGCTTCTACTAAAGCCTTAACAATACTTTATGGACACTATAAACAAGTGACAGACACAGCGTACATGTTAACAACTTAGCCAATGATACACCCATGAAAAGAGCACGTGAGGGCACCCAACCAAGTGCCTGGAATGACAGAACAGATCATAGATGTGCTCAATACAAAACAAAACTTAAAAATTTTTTGGCATTAATACTAACACAGAATACTTTCTTGAACATTCTGCAAGAGCAGGTGCACATAGAATTACCTCTTTCTTTCCATATCACCAGTATCTATAGGACTACTTTGAGAAAAGCCAGGAGGCTTCGGTGCCTCCCCCTCCCCAACGTCATTGCCTTTGCCAAAGGAGCAGAGTCTGCAGGGTTGTGGTGGGGAAGGGCAGCCTCAGGGCTTCATGGTTAAAAGTCCCCAAGTAGCTGCCTGGAGCAGCAGGGTGTGGGATGGAGTGACAGCCTTGGTTTGTAGTCAGGATGTCCAAGGAGTTAACCCAGATGCACCCTGGAGCACTGTGGGGCAGTACAGGCACTGGATGGTCTAGACCCTCCCTCAGGGAGTAGTGGGACCAGGGCGGGGCCTCCAGCCCTGAGGTCTAGAAAGAATAGCCTGACCTTGCATTCTAACAAAGCTGGGTCATTATGACACCTTTACTGTCAGGGACCAGCCCTCACAGGGCCTGGTGAGCTTGCAAGGAGAGATCTAGCCAAAGAGTAACACACTTAACAAACCAGCTGCCAGCAAGCTGCCTGGGGTTAGCCACCACGTCCCAGGCCCAGGGCAAATCACTGACTCAGTTTGCCTCTGCTGGAGCGGGTTCTGCAGCAAGCTCTTCCACTCTGGGGTCGGAGTGCCGCGGGGCCTCTGGGACCCTGCTGTGGCCAGCAGGACCGTTCTGCACAGCTCCCAAACCTTGCCCTTCCTCCCTGACATCAGAGGTCCCACCCCACCGCTGCCTCCCTGGCATGAAGTTTCCCCCATCTCCGGCTTTGGGAAACTGGTCTTCGAGATTCTTCTCGTTCTCCTCTGCTTGCTGCTTGTCTCTGGCGCCAAGTTTACCTTTGGATTTCCTCAGCTGCCTGCTGTGTATCTCGTCACGGGAGAATCGCCACTGAAACTAGAAAGTAGAGAAGTGGGGCTGAATAAGCAGGCTCTGGGAATGCAGCCCTCCACTCATCTCGCCTGACAGTTCCCAGATTCCCTGGGCAACACCAAGGCAGAATCCAACCCAATCCTCCTACCCCCTGGGGCAGGTGCAATGCTTTCCTATCTGCATTCTAGATTTGGGGGAGCTGTGGAGGCAGAAAAGGTTATGGGCCCCTTGGCAAAGGGGGCAAGGAGTCTTAGATTACTATCATTTTGAAGGCCAAGACAGGATGGGTGGGCACCCTCTTTCCCTCGACATCAGGCCACTGTGAGCAGGCTGTGGGTTACTAAGTGCTGGGTACACAGTCTCTCTCCAGCTCACCTGAGTTAGGCAGGTGCTGTGCTGTACTTTAAGGTTTCCTTGCAGGACTGGTGGGTTCCTTCCCCCAGCTTCAGAGAGTGCAGCCTGCTGACAGCCGTTTCTGACAAGCTGGTTCCAAGTAGTACTCTCCTCACAGGCAACCCACAACCCTGTGTCTAGTCTAGAGGGTACGTAACAAGCATCCCAGCTCAGAGTCACCTGGGGGGCTGAGATGCAGCTCAGTCCAGCCCCATCTCCTAGGGCACTCCCTCTGAAAGCCTATACCCAGATCCTAGACTGAGCCTCCCAGAGAGGCCTGCAACCAGGCATCTGCCCATGTGACAGGAAATCAACATGCTCTGTGTCCCAAGGTCATATAGCCAGTGATAGGGCCTGGCAAGAGCCTTGGTCTTATCAACACTGGGGGGCGGGCGGGGGAGGGGTGTTGAGCGGACCAGCTGCACCCACTCAGTAGCCAGAATTCTCGGTCCGTTTAGTGACCCATGGGACACACAGGACTTTAGTTTTTAAGTTCCCACAGGTGTCTCCTGCTTCAGGTGCACCAAGTGTTACGCCAAATATGTACTTAAGTCGTAGGCACTCTGACTGGAAAAAATATAAGCCTGTCATCCCAGCATTTGAGAGGCTGAGGGAGGAGTTCCAGGCCAGCCTAGGGTACACAGTGGGACTCACAAAAACTCAGAAAACAAAAACCACAGCCTTCAGTTTGGGGATGTCGTGCAGGGACAGGGCTGTGGTTTCCAGCACCCTCAGATGGGAGCCCAGGAATGCAGACGAATGGCCCCATCAGCAGGAAATACCACACTGTAAACGATTCTGAGTACTTTGTGAGGAAAACACAAAAATGTGCTATGCAAACTCTTTTCTTGGTCTTTTTGAGATAGGGTTTCCCTGTAGCCCCAGCGGGCCTGGAACTCACTATGCAGCCAAGGCTGGCCTTGAACTGACAAGAGATCACCTGCCTCTGCCTCCCAAGTGTTGCTATTAAAGGCATGTGCTGCTATGCCCAGTTTATGCAAATTTTTAAAAAAACCAGCCCAACCCCGGCAGAGTCTTCTGTGGCAGAGCTCAATCTCCAAGAATATACTGCCCTTAACACTCCGAGGCCACAGAGTGAACACATCATGGATTCCTTCTGGGCAAGACTAGTAAACCTGACATTCCATCATACAGAAAAGGAGTGGGACAGTGCTGGTCTTAGGCTTGGGCATTTATCATGTCCTATCTCACCCCTCAGGTCTAGGCTCACGATGTTGGATGGGGGTCCCCTGGAGCTCTAGAGAGGCTCTCAGGTTCCAGCTGCAGACCGCCCCACTATGCATTCCCCAGAGTATAATGTGCTCAGATGCCCCTTGGCTTAGATGTATGTCCACTTCCACCAGGACTGTCCAGCAGGCCCCACAACCCATCAGAGGACATGGAGTTCAGACTGCAACTGGCTGCCGCAGCCTCCAACACCTGCCTCCGATGCTCGTGGGGACTGTGTTACTCTGGGGTTGATCCCAACCCAAATGGACGTTCCCAAATAAAACCTTTCCACATTTCCCACGTTTTCGAAGAAGGCTTGTTAAGCTAGCCTGTATAGCATCCTCTGAGGGCATTCAGCTATATGGAGAAGTGAGAGAAAGTTTTCCTTTTGCCAGAAGAGTGGTGATGCTGTCTTGGCTAAGAAGCTTGTGTGCAAGGATATTAAAGCATTGTGTGGCTAAGTCCAAGTCCAAGTTTCAGCCCTGGTAGCTCTCAGTCCTCAGGCAAGTTCTTAATCTGTCAGTTTCCACGTCTCTCCCAGCTGTCCCTGGCCCATCTGCACTGTCACTGTGAATAGCTTCTGCAGGCACATGGTATCCTACCGAAAACAGTTCTGACAGCCTTGAGATGGATCGTTTTCTACCACGAGCCCCGATTCTTGGTCTCTGTGCTTGCTAAATACATCAGAGAACCTCCACAGTCCCTGTGGGAGCCTGGCCAGTAACCTGCAGAAAGCCATGTCTTGTTGACCCAGTGAAGATGGACAGGAGCATGCAGAACGAGGCAGGCACCACATCTGCTCTAGGATCCTTCTAGGGCCATTAGAGGATTTGGCCTGTCACTGTGAGCAGGGTGAGATCCATCATCACAGAAAGATCTACCTAGCCTTCTAGAACCATACTGTTTCCCGTGTCCTCAGATGGATTTGTGGGTGACCTCAGGACTCCTGGTGCTGCCTAGGCCCCCCAGTCAGAACAGAGGTTTGTAGCCAGATTCCCAGGGAGGCCTGGGTCTGGTCTTCCCTCTTTTTCTATGGCAGAGGGAAGCTGTCTGAAAGCAGGTAAGGCCTACACTCGAGTCAGAGCTATGAAGACCAACTGCCTTACACCACAAGAACTTATGTCTTATGCTGTGATAGAGGCTATTTCCCAGAATTCCCCAAGAAAGATCCCCCCCCCCTGACCCCCGAGTCATCTTAGTGCTGTTTTAAACATGGCCACAAAGTTCAGAGAAGTTATAGCCCCAAATCATACAGGAATAGGGCTGGAATTCAGACTGATTTTCTTTATATAGGCTTGACTTGCTCTAGACAGGAAGAGGACATACCTTTAGAATGACTTGTAAGCATCTCGGCCTTCAGGCTTTAAGATTTACAAGACAGATCAGTCAGGTCAGGCACTTGGGCCCAGTTACCAGCTAATGGAATTCCAGATTTAATGGTCACGAAAGATGCTTTTTTTTTTTGCTTATTAAAAAAATTACACCAAAGGCTTCCTGACAGGGCCATTTCTTTAGCCATCAACAATAAAGTGTGACTGGAGGTCCACAGGTGAGCCTAGGAAGGGGCCCAAACGCTTCAGCTGAGACACAGGCCCGGAGCAGGCATCCACCTCACCTGGAAGGCTCCTTAAAGCACAGCTGTATCTGTTTCCAGAGGGTCCACCCCAGTGGGCAGGGTGAGGGGAACTGACTTGGCACTTTAACAAGCTCCAAAGTGTAGCTGCTTTTGGTTCTCAGGCCACATTCTGAAAACCACTGGCCTGGAAGGACTTAGCTACTGGAGAAATATCCAGGAAGAGAGAACCCCTCCTCAGGCCTTCCACAGGGAAGGGCGTCCTCAGCGTCTCTCTCGCACCATCACACCTGTCTCAAGCTCCCTCTTTCCAGTAAGTACGGGGTAGTCTCAGCATGTAACAAACAGCCTTAGCTGTTCTGATACCAAGGTTCCAAAAGGATAGTGAGGGGAGGCCAGGAGTACAGCCTACCTCTTAGATGGAGCCTCTGAGGCAGGGGGTTGAACACACACACTTCAGGGCTGGCAGTCCCAACTGGAGAGCAGATTCTACAGCTTGAGCAGTGGAAGGGGGGGGGATCTCTAAGCTCGACCAACAAAGTGTCAAGGACAACAGAGTTCACAGAGCCAGGGCCTTTCTGGGCAACATTTGTGGCACTGGGATGTACCACTCAATCCAACTAACTACCCAACTCAGAACTAACTACCTGTGGGAGGGTTGGACCTAGTGGCGTGGGCCTGTAATCTGAGCTCTCAGGGGAACAGGCAAGAGAGTCACACATTTTAGGCTTCCCTGGACTACAGAGTAAATTCAGGGCAAAGCCAGGCAACCTAGTTAGGACATGTCTCAAACAGTAGAGGGCAGGGGATGTAGCTCAGTGGTAGAAGAACACTTGCCTAGCATGCGTGAGACCCTAGGTTCAACCCCCAATATTCCAAAGAGAAAAAGAATGGATGACAATGGTAGAAAGGACAGAACTCTGAGGTATGGCAGGCGGGTTTAATGTACACCTCTTAAAAACTTGCACAATGTGTTCACTTTAAGAAATTTAGATGGAAGGGAGACCTCCATCACAGTACAAATCACCTACTCCCTTTGAAGGAGCTTAGCGTTTCTTTGACAGTCACACAGCACTCTGAGGAGGCTGGACTGGAGAATTTTGTTTGGACCAATCTTGTAATTTCAACGCTAGTATGTGTGATCTGCACTCGGAAGTTGGATTACTTAGTGATTTATCAGATACCTGCTGAGCAGCAACTAAAATCCAGGTACTGTGTTCACAATACTCATAGAACTTTGCTCTTGTGACCCTACCAGGACAGAATAAACCAGTGGCCACAAGTAACAAAAGCCAGGGCAGAGCTCTGAGGGGCAAGACTGGGGTGCTTTCCTAGTAGGTCACTGTGATGGGTTGGATATGAGATGTTGCCCCCAAAAGCTCATAGTGGAGACTAGGTCCCCAACTGTGGTGCTACTGAGAGATGACTGGACCATGGCCTCTGCCTTCATTGATGGGTTCATCCTGATGGGGTCATACTATCATGGTGGCAGGTTGTGGAGAACTAGGTCACTGGGGGTGTGTCCTTGAAAGACATACTTTGTCCCCTGCCCCTTGCCAGCTCACTCTCTGCTTCTTGGTTGGCATGAGCTGAAGAGCCTCCTCAGTCACACAGTCCTGCTGCCATATTATACCTTAGCTGAGGCCCTGAACTATGGAGCCAGCTGAGCTTGGACTGAAACCTTGAGCCAAAATGAAAGTCTTTCCTCCTTTAAAGCACCTATGTTGTATACTTATCACAGCAACAGGAAAAGTGAGTAGCACAGCTACAGAGGAGCATGGCTTGGCCTCAGTGGGAGAACGCCGCCTGGAAACAGTGGAAAGAGACTGGAGAAGCGCTTCCTAGGCAGGGGACAGCCAAAGTGAGGGGCCAGAGTGAATGGCAGAGGGCACTGGAGGTGTGTGGAGGCCAGAGTCACTGGGATGTACGGGGGCGGGGGGCTGCAGAAGGGTGAGAGGGCCTCATGGGCCACAGGACAGATCTCATCCTACAAGGAAGACAAAATGAGAACTGTAAGCAGTAGGTGGCATGATCCAACTGCCCCACCACCCCGCTGTTTGATGAAGTGGGTCTCTGGGGGCAGCCCTTGAGGTTTTATAGCCTGGGCCCTCTTCCTGCCCTCTCTGTGCTCCCTGACTGCAGCATGACCAGCAGCCTTTTAGCCCCGCTGTCATTCCTTTCCACCCTAATGGATGGCATCCTTAGATCCTTTCTTAAACTGCAGGTCAACATAGACCCTTCCTTATGGAGCTCTTGTGAGGCATTTGATGACAGTAATGAGCAAAGTAACTAATACACATGGTAAGATGGAGCCAAGAGATGAAGTACGGCCAAGCCTGTCAGTGCTGCTGGAGCCTGAGGGAGGGTGGGTGGACTTGTCATCAGGGTCACCAGGGGACACAGACCAAAGCAGCTGAGGTATGAATGATGGGGACAAAGAGATGGAGACATCAAGTGCAGAGGATTCTTTCTAGAAGCCTGGTGTGAAGTTCCCTTTCTCTGGGGCTCCACAAGTGAGGTGACCCAGAAGGTCTCACTGCCAGTTGCTCAGTGCCAGCTGCTGTCAGTCTTGGAGTGATGCAGGGCATCAAAAGAGAAAGCTGTCTGTCTGCACTTGCCCAGCTAGTTAGGATCGGGAGTTCTTACTGACCAGGAAAGAAATGGTCCCTCTCCTTTTCCTGAGGGAAGTCAGTGCTACCTTCTTACAGCAAGTGTGACAAATCTACTTCTCCAATCGGGATACCACTGACATTGCCCTCTGTGTAATGCCAGGACCTTCCTACAAAAGCCAAGCTGCCCCATGAGCAGACACCAGCAAAGAGGGCAAGTTCCATCTCTGTCTGAAGGGGCTAATGCCCAATCCCTCCATGTCTGGCAGCAGATTTTGTGTCGCTTGTTGAATGCTACTTTCTGTGACTGGGGGCATCCCGCAAGCCTGCAGCTGAGCACTCCCTGACAACAGCCTGTGGCCATCCATCTTCCATATCTTCCAGCAGGTGGCTGACTGCTCCTGGCGGCTGCCTTCTGGTCCACCTCTGCTGTCACCTGTCACATTACAACCTCAGAGCTTGGAGAGAGACCGTCCTCTGCACTCCAGCCCATCTGGCTTCATGTCCCCTTTGCTTTGGCGTTCCTTTCATGAATGGACAACCCACAGAGTTTGTTGGCTGGTGAGGGGCTACTCCAATCTGTTCAGTGACTGGATGCTCCTACCTGGGACTCTGGGTCCAAAGAACGTAAGGGACAGAGTAGGGAGTGTGAGGATGGTATGATGTATGCAGAGCTGAGCAGGTCAGCAGCTTCTGACCAATGTGGCCACAGCCATCAAAGTGGAACATAGTGGATCCAGGTGATAACTAACTGGGGTTTAGTAAACTCACTCAGCCTACTAGACTCCTCCGAGACACTGACAGCATATCGACAGTGTGCTAGTCTACTTTCTGTTGCTATAACAGGATACTGGAGAAAGTCAACTTAAAGGAAGGAAAGGTTTAGTTTGACTCACAGCTGCAGAGGGTCCAGCCTGTGCTCAGTTAGCTTCATTGTCTTTGGGATGAAACGGAGGCAAGGGGGCTGGAATCCCTTCCATGACCTAGTTTCTTTCCACTCTGTCCCATCTCATAAATGTTCAGCTACCTCCTAACGGCTCCATTAGCTGGGGAACAAGCCGTCAGCACAGATTCAAACTGGCCGGGTATGCTAGTGTACACCTTTAATCCCAGCACTCAGGAGGCAGAGGCAGGTGGGCTAGAGGGTAAGACCCTGTCTCCGAAAAAAAAAAAAAAAAAGCAAGATTCAAAGTGTAACACAGGAGAAACCCCTACAACAGGGTGAGCAGGGTGAGCATCAGAATCACCCAACACACAAACTCTGGGCTCGGCTTCAAGAAACACAGAGAGGATGCTGAGAAAGCCACAGTCTCTCTGAGATGTTATACCCACACTAGGCAAGAAGTCCAACAAGGGGAAAAAGAGCCCTGGGGCTCCCCAAGCACAGCCTAGCCTGAGGACTTACTGCCACAGCCTATGGCCTCTGTCTGCATCACCAGCTGTCTATCACTCAAAGACCTTTATCTTGAGACCTAGCAAAAGGAGACTCTGCAGGGGCCTGTCTGTTAAGATATCAAACTTCAGAAGCTGGTGTAGTATTGTAGGTCTTTAATTCTAGCACTCTGGAGGCAGAGGCAGGTGGAGCTCTGTGAGACGGAGGCCAGCCTGCTCTACATAGTGAGTCAGCTGGGGCTCCTGGGAGACTGTCTCAAGACAAAAACAGCAACGAAAAAAGATTATCAAACTTCTGTTTTACTTTTATAGGATAGGGTCTCACTATACAGCAGAAGACAGCCTCAAATTCATGACCTTCCTGTCTCTGCCTCCTGAGTGTAGTGATTACAGGCACCCCCAACACACCAGGCCAGGATCAGCAAACTCTGATAACTGAAAGGGTCTAATGAGCAGGCCAGCTTGTCTGACATCAGGAAGGGCAGCAGGCCATGAGCTCAGGCCACCCCATGCCCTGGTCAAACTGCAGCTGACTCCAGGCTCTATTTTTTCCCTCATGGAATCTCTGGCATGCATCAGTGACCAGAAAAACCTGTGTTCTCTGCCCTGATGGCCAGAGGAGGCTTGTGGAATGGCCTCCAGCTCCTCAGCTGTCCATTCCAGCAGCCTCTGGTATGACTAGGCTCTGGTATGACTAGACTCTAAGAAGCCTTAGAAGTGGGAACAGGCTACTTATGGGCTGGTGCAGACCCCCCACCCCAATAAAGCTGAGCCCTCAGAAGGAAGCCCAGGGGGAAAGACTGGGGAGGTCTCTCCCCTCTTACCTTGGATTCCCTCTTCTTGGCTTTCTGAGGTAGACACGGTCTCTGAAGAAAGACAATCTGCTTGGTGGACACATTCCCTTCCCTACAACACAGGAGCAGAGGGTGAGTCATGTGACACCTGGATCCCAAGGTCGCAGTACTGAACCTCCTTCAAGTGAAAGAAGGCTAATACTAGATGGGGGGATCAGAAGTCTGGGTATCCCAGCTCTGTTCTATGCCGAAAAGCCTAGGGCCACCTCAAATGCCAGCCAACACTGCCTAGCTGAGTTCCTGGCCACAAACTCCCAGACCCTTGACAGGAAGTGGCAGCCAGAGCCTTGGCTAGGTGAGGATATGCTGGCAGCTGAGGGAGGCCCAAAGGGAGTAAGGCCTCTTCCAGCTGTCTTTGGTACTGATGGCAGGGGTAAGCAGGAGGATAAAGATGGGTGGTGAGCCTTGCCCTCCAGTGTGATACAAAGGTGACAGAAGGCAGGGCTGACACATGGGCTCAGCCACTGTGTGGCTCCTGCAGGTATCTGGATACGAGGGCTAGGCTGGTAGTAAGGTGGCATATGGCAATCAACTCTGACCCACACTGATGGAATGGGTGAGGGACAGCTCATATGCTATGAGCTAGGGAAGGCAGGATCCCATGCTGTGCCTTTGACAGAAATATTAAAGGAAACCATGTTTTTTCCCCTTCCTCTCCTTAAATCTGTTTTCAAACATCTTCTCACTGCATTCAGCCCAGAGTATCAGGGATAGGAGGAGAGAGCTAATATTTGCCTGGCATCAAAGTTTTGCCAAAGCTGGGCAGGTGATTTCATACCTAAGGGCTTATTTCAGCCTCAATACACCTGCTCCAAGGCAGCCCACCACCACTTTTACAGACCCAAAGCAAAAGCTCAGCTTGGGGCACACTCAGGTGCACAAAGGCAGGATTCAGCTAGACCTTCCCAGTCCAGGGGCTCTGTCTGGTCCTAGTGTGGGTTGTTTAAGGAGGGGGAAAGGGAACATCTCTGAGATGCATCTCGGAGACAGACACAGCTCTGTGTGCCCCTGGGCTCACACAGCTTGAGCAGCTGGGCTTTCTGTTCAAATTCATTTCCATTATGCTTATGTCCTCTGGAAACTGACTAGGAGCTAAGACAAGCTACCGGACCTAACCAGGATGATACATTTAGCAAATGGCACACTCTGGACTTGGGTTTGAATCTTCAAGCTACTAATCCAGGGTACTTTCTTGCTCCGCTGTATCACCCTGTGCCTGGAGAAGTCTTGTTTTAGAAACACTATGGTGGCTCCCAGTGGCCAAAGAACCCAAAGGTGGCCACAGACAGTACCCATCATGACCTGTTCAGCAGGGAATCATGTTGAAGGCCCAGGGGAGAGACCCAGGAAAGGTGTGGATCATCATGTTAATTCTCCACCCCCAACCAGCCCAGGCCACCAGCCTTACCACCTGCCTTATCTCCCTACAGTGGAAACTGTACAGTGGATTCAGGGAGGGCAGAACCTGAGGGCCACAGGGTAGGGAGCTGGGAGTGGGGCACCACCACAAGTCAGAGACAGGGAGTCTGCTTACAAGGCAAGGGCCTGACTCTGCACACTGAGGCTCTAGACCCACATTCTACCATCTACTGCCAACTGGGCCTCAGTATGTGATGGGCCTTTCTGAGCTTCACTTTTCCTCATTTGTGAAATGGGAATTGTAGCTGATTACAGCCCTGCAGGAAATTCAAGAGGACCCAAACTGCAGATGGAAGGCTTTCTGGGGTGCTAACCAGCACCATGATCTTGGGCAAATCTCTTAATATCTCTGGGCATACTTTCCTTGGATGTAAAATGGATTTAATAATATTAACAATATAAATCAGTCAGCTGGGTGTGGTGGCACATGCCTGGAATTTAGGAGGCTAGGGCAGGAAGACTGTACGTTCAAGGCCAGTCTTGGCTTCAGAGTGAGATCCTATCTCAAAAGCAAAACCAAACAGCGGTCCTTCCCTCCCTCTTTCTTCCTCTCTCCCTCCCCTCTCCCTTGATTGAGATTCTGTACAGAGTGCTACCTAGGAGCACAGCACCCAGAGTAGGTGCTGAAATGCTTTTGCATCTGTTGGTACAGGACCCCAGCTCAGGGCAGGGCAGCCCTGACTCACTGGCTAAGGCTCCTCCATGTCAAGGGCAAGGGTGTGCTCCAGGTGATGGCGGCGGGGTGCAACCCTGGTTCTGGGTACCGTCAGCTGGAGAGTTTCAGTAAACACTCATGGTTCCAGCCTCAGAGTGGACTCTGCAGACACCCACTTATCAGAACAATGACAGTTGTCATGACAGCTATGCTCTTGTTACCTGGTAGTCTTGATGACTGGAGTTGGCAGCACACAGGTGAGCTGCCATCCGTAGGCTGCCAGCGAGTTCAGCAAGGGCACATAGTCTGTCTTCACCTCTGCACCCTGGGGAAAAAGGGCCATGAATGCTCCTGCCACTTGAGGTCATCTCCCCAGGCACAGAGAGAGTCCCACCCACAGATCCAACCAATGTTCAAAGGCTTAAGAGTTTGGAGCCAAACTGCCAACGTGCAGTTTCTTCTAGGGCCTGCATCAGTCTGTACAGTTGGCAAGGAATTAGAGCCCAAAGACGAACCCGTTAATTTTGTTTTATTCTCATCTGGACAGACAGCTTCCCATGAGCTTCACGGAAGCAGCTCAGTTACTGAACCTCCAGGATGCAGTCCCAGCATCCACTAGTGAGCAATGCTCTGATGTGAAGAGTTAATGTGACATGATAGAGTCCTCTGCCACAGCTGCGGCAGGCACAGAGCAGTCTTACTTGAGTTTTGAGTCCTGCCATTCAGGAGTAAATGAATGCTATCCTTGCTTTATTACTAATCGGGATCTGGGGATCAATGTTTGTTTTTCAACTTAAAAGTATAACCCTCCCCCAGCACAGGGAAACACCCCTAACATGAGGCCGAGGTACCTGGGCTCATCATGGGGAAACCTTGACTGCTCAGGCCTTGCTTGCCTCTAGCTCCTCACCCAGACTGAAAGCATGCCCCCAGTCCTGTCCTGGGTATACTCCTGACTCCCCATCTCTGTTAGCCAGCTTCGGAAAATGACGGACATCTATTCAAGTTCCTTCCAACTTCAGTACCTGCACAGATCCATTCCCCTTGTACTTGGGAGCTTTGCTGGGTGGGAAGGTGAACAGAAGCTCATTCCTGCCATCAGAGTTCACAGAGTCCAACACGCAAGTAAATAAACCAAGTGCAAACTAGGCCTGCTGGTCAGGATGCTTTGAGTGTCAGTGGGGGGCAAGGGACCAGCCCTGGCCTAGCGCTGTGGCCTTCATTCTCCTTAGAAGGAGCAGGGCAAAGCCACTCTGCAAGGTAGGCTAAGTTGTCCTGCTTGTGGCTTTGGGGGGATAAAATGTACTCATCTGGCTTCCCTGGAGGAGGGAGTTGGGAGAGAGTTTCCAGAAATAACCTGCTGCCTCTTCAAATGGCTTGAAAGTTTCTAGAACTGGGTGCCAACCCCTCCAGGTCATCTGAATCCCTAATAAGTAATCTATCCTTGGTGTGCTAAACTGTGTAAAGTCCAAGCCATGTCTCTCAGAGCTTGGTTGGGAGAGGCAGGAGCCTCAATTGAAAACTGGGGACAACGCAGAGTCTCAGGCCTGGCCTTGCTAAGCCAGGACCTTGGGAGAGCCCCAGACTATGAAGCATCATCACAGTAGTCCCTGAGCAGCCGAGACTAGTGCCTTGATAATGTCTTAGGTCCTTTTTGGCAACAGACGTGTCTAAAATTCTGGGGCCAGAATTCACCAGCTATCACTTTCAATGTAACTGTTCCCATTACTCGCCACATAAGAAAAGACTTTCAAAGGATGTGCTGTGTCTGTGAGAAATGATGCCCTTGGCAGGGACCAAGTAGGCGGGAAGGAAAGAGGAAAGGGTGAAGGAACAGAGGAGAAACAACATAATCATTTACAGGCTGATCAGGAGGGGGTCATTGAGGCCCCTCTCAAAGCCACAGTCAGGCCAGCCATGGCTCAGCAGGTGCCCAGCAGCCTGGCCCTCCTTTCTGCTGGTCCTCAGGACATAACCAGGCCAGCACAACGTTCCCACAGGGAAAACCCTGTGGCTGTTGGGTTTGGAGATTCCCTGCCCCCGTCCACCCCTGCACTCCCAGCTTAGAGAGAGGAGGGGGAAAAAATTAAATCCACATCCTTGAGGTTCTGATTACTTGGGCCTATCAAGGATAACCTTCCCACTTTATCAAGCACTGTGACAAACCCGCCACAATCAGACAGTAGCCATAGCAACCAGGACAAGCTTTGGTGCCTTCACAAAGCCCTGAGTGGCAGAATGCAGTTCTTTCTTTAGTGGCTATAGCCTGGCCAGGTTTTTCTCTGCAGGAGCCCAGAGCTACAAAACAATGACCCGCCCACTGCAGCCTGACCTGCCAGCTCAGACAGGTCTCACCAGGGCCGCTTCTATTTTGCTCTATCTTATTTCATTTTGTCACTATCTTGAAGAGAAAAACAGCAGGAATTCTCCCAAACATGTCCCTGCCCCCCTCAGGGAAGGAAATGTCAGCCATGGGGTGCACGATCATAAAGACCAAAAGGAATAGGGGAGATATAACAAATCCTACAGTGCCTGGGAGGTTCAAGCTCAAGTGCTAATTTCTGGCCATCAATCAGTGTTGATGAGTAAAATCTAGATGGGAGGGGGCGATGCGACTGCTAGGCTCTCGGACTGTTTGGACTGGCTCGGATTTAATTCATGTTAAATATGGTTTTCCATAAGCATCTATCCATGTCACTTTGCATATTACCAATACAATAAGATGGGGCTTCTAAAACTAGCCAAGGCCCGCGCAGTCAGCACAAGACACTTTTAAGTCCATTAGCTCAGAAAGGTGGTAGGAGAGAGATGCGGATGGAAGGCTGGCTTTGATCTGCTTTTTGTGACACTCCAGTGAAGGAGAGAAGAAAGCAACCAACAGCACTCAAAAGCCAGCGTGCTTATCAAACGAAAAGACATTTCTTTCTGTGAGCCAGAGCAAAAATTTTAATTAACTCTCCTCTCTCCTGTGGTGGGTACGTAATCTCCCATCACACCTGGAGTGTTAAAAAAAGTAGAACATGCCCTGTGGTTTCTTCAACTTGTGTAAAAAAGAATTCATTTGTATTTATGGCCCTTTCCCCCTTTGTTCTCTATAATTTCTCCAGTGGTTGCAAATCAACTAAAGAAACAGACATCCAACATAACCTTCCCTTACCCTCCAAAAATCATGCCAGCAGAATGTATAGTTGACTAAGAAATCCCTTTTGATGGTGTTTGAAGATCCTCTCTGCAGGCTAAGAATGGTCCAGTAAGAAAGTTTCTATCCTGAATGTCAGCATGCTCTTTTTTCCCAGGCTTCCATCTGTAATTTCTATTCTATAATTTTAATTAAATCAGAAGGCAGTGTTTATATTATTACAGCTCTGTAAACACTGCTCAGTGCCACGCTAAGTAACGTGTCGTGGCCACACTTTCTTTTTTATGTGACCCTTTATTTTTCCTAGAGAACTCTATGACCTTTTTTTTTCATCTCCCTGAGAGTTACACAAACCCATAATTAATTTATTCCACATGTTGCAATCTACTTCATGCTGTCTGCGATTTCTCTATGTGCCTATGTTCATGCAGCAAGTCTTCTTGTGGACGACATCATTTCCAGAGCCCTCTGAACCCTTGTTCCAATCTGGCCTGGCTGTTTTCTATGCCCGTGTTCTCCCTACGCTGGGGTCTGTGATGTGTATGCTCTTTTTGGGTTTCTTTTTGCTGGAGCCTATCCTTAATGACTCATGAGGAAACAGTTCCCTGGAAATCATGTGAATCCATAAGGATGACTTTGCCTTGATCCTTAACTGACAATTCGGATAAAAAAAAATGGTCTGGGCTGTAATCTACTTTTCCATCAAAAATTTGCAGGTATTGCTTTTAGATATAAGCATTGCTACTGTGATAGATGACAGAAAGATGGAAACAGATCTATTTATCCTGATTACTAATCCTTTGAATGTAGCCTTGTGCTGGATAGCATTAGTGATAACTTGACACACCTGGGTTGAGGGGGCCCCAATTGGGGAATTGCCCCATTGGACTGATCTGTGGCCATGTCTGTGGGGCATCTTCTTGATTATTAAGTGATGTGGGGTGATGCCACCCCTGGGCAGGTGGGCTATGTTGTACAAGAAAGCAGGCTGAGCATGGACCAGGGAGCAAGCCAGTAAGCAGCGTTCCTCCATGGCCTGTGCTCCAGCTCCTGCCTCCAGGTTCCTGCCCTGAGTTCCTACCTTGGGCTCCCTGATGATCTAAGACGCGGGAGATGTGAGCTGAATAATCCTTTTCCTTCCCAAGTTGGTATTGGTCAGAGTGTTTTTTCACAGCAATGGAGGAACAAACTATAAAAAGCTTGTTGTACTGTTCTGGAAGTTTTTAGGAGTTCTGGAATGTCCGAATATTTTACTTTAGTGTGGACTTTTTTTATTCCAAGACTGCTTACTAGACAGCCCAACAATCTGGAGATTCTGGTCTATTAAAAAAACTATGACTCGGTACCCCCCCCTCCCCGTTTCATTCTTCTTTATGGACCTCCTTGGTCAAGATGTGGGCCTGCCGTTTCCGGTCAGTGCCTCCCTAGTCCTATTTTCTTAGATTTTTTCTTACCCCCCTTCAAGCGATTCCCTTCACTTTCTCTTCCAGCCTTTCTCTTGTGCTTTTATATTTTCTGCTTCCCTCTTTAAGACCCCAAAGCTCTTTCTTTCAATAGTTTGTTTCTTTTTTTTTTATAGCGTCTTGTTTTTGTTCTGTGGGTAAGTGCACTTTATCTCTTTAAGTGGTTCCTACTGATTCCTGCATTATCTCTACAGTTACCAAAGATTTGACCAGGATGGGGCTAGGGAGCTTAGCACATAATATTGGGATTATACACCACGTCCTGGTTTTCAGCTCTGCAGTTCACTACTCCTTCAGTCCCCTGGTGATGTCCACCTTGAAGACCAACATTTTTGTTCTCCTCCAGGCTACAGCTTCCTCCACTGGCAGATCAGTTAGATTTCTCCATCTGATCTCCTCCTCCTGTAACTGTGTTGCAAGCACTTGGTCTCTACTACCTCTTCTAATCTGTGTTCTCATGGGTATCGATTACCTACAGTTCTTGGTAATTACATTCCATAAAATCCCCCTGAACACGAAATTAGTGAATACAGATCCATTTTTCCTAAGGGAAGTGTAGGGCTAGGTTCTTATGGGTCTCTGTATTTTTGTTAACCAACTAGTATGTAACCCTGTTTGTGTTCATTTCTGTTTAAAGACACTGTTGTTGATTCATGAACTTTCAGCCAGCAGCACATGGCCCAAGCCTGAACAACCTTGCATTTGCTGTGTCAAGCATATCAC